CAGAAAAGGACACCATCCTTTACTATACTGCATCAAGTAGCCTGATCTGGTTAATCTGGCATATTTCTCCATAAACTTGGGCATGACTGAAAAAATTTCATAATTTTTTACCTCCATTTCTTTAGCAACTCGCCTATTTTTATTTTAGAGAAAGAGCGGACAAGAGCAAGGAGGTCTAAACAGCTTAAAACTTCGAAGATTTCTTAAATCCCCAATTTTTTCATATAAATATGAAGGGCTAGCCTGCCACTTTTAGATGTTGTATAGGATTAGAGAGCGAGAGAGAGCGAAATAAAAAAGAAAGAAAGAAGATAGACAAATAGGAAGTGAGGGATTGATGGAGAAAAGGAGGAGTAGGAAGTACTGCTTGTCAAGAAAGAGAAACATGATTTGCCTTGCATTTGGTTAGGGCTCTCTCACCCCATGATTCGTGAGTATTTCAATATGACCAACCTCGTGGCCAAGTGAAACCCAGTGACATTGTGGGGTTTAGTTATTTCGTTGTGGAAATCTCCCATATCAGCTTTCAACCCACCTTAAGCGATAGAGGATGCCGAAGGTCTGAGCACAAGAACCAGTCCAAACGGGTACCAATTTACAAAAAGCTCGTTTTACTCATGTTTGTCCAAGCTTCGGCCACCATCTTCGGCTCATCCAGTAGCAGACTGTAGAAAAGACGAGAAAAACCGATCCATTTCAGCCAATGATGGCAACTAAGACGACAGAATAGTTGCCTCTTCCGTAGTCATCTGGGCCGAGGCTAACCTCTCCGAGCCTTGGAGCCGAAAGTCGGCATGACTTTGCGTCAAAGCCCAAGGAGCAAGAGCTCCAACTTCTGCAACCAGAATCTGCACTAAAATGGACAAGAGCAAGGAGGCCTAAACAGCTTAAAACTTCGAAGATTTCTTAAAACCCCAATTTTTTCATATAAATATGAAGGACTAGCCTGCCACTCTAAGATGTTGTATAGGATTAGAGAGCGAGAGAGAGCGAAATAAAAAAGAAAGAAAGAAGATAGACAAATAGGAAGTGAGGGATTGATGGAGAGAAGGAGGAGTAGGAAGTACTGCTTGTCAAGAAAGAGAGACATGAATTGCCTTGCATTGGGTTAGGGCTCTCTCACCTCATGATTCGTGAGTATTTCAATTCAACCAACACATGTTCTTTAGAAAAAGATACCATTATTCCATGGAGAATACCTTGCGTTCCTTGAAATTCACACCTGCTCATCGACTTAAGTGCACTGGTGCCAGTTTGACGTAACAGATCACGTTCGGAGACCATATACTGCAATACCATAACCCGGATTTGAGCCTCACTAAGTGTGCTGATGAGCTCTAGTTGAGGTCGAAACTGTAGTCCCTCTGAATGAAGATTTCTTTTGCGAATGAATGCTATTTAAAATTCCATGAGAACATGAGACCTATCCATATCATTGTGGGAATTAGTTAACTACATCAACTTCAACTTCGTTACATTAAACGAATAGGTTGAATGCAGCTCTTATATCAAATCCACTTGTATTCTTGAAGACCTACATATAAACGAAGTCACACATAATCCACATTCATATTATGACTAAGTTAATCACATGAAGGATCTCCAGGGCGATCTTCTTTCGCTTTCTGATCAGACCAAGCTATAAATTCCCTTCCACTTATCTTTACAATCGGAATGAAGGTATGACAATTTGTTTTTTGCCACTACATTGGTACGTTCGTTGTAAACAAGAAAAATGTTTTCAGATTTTCTCCTCTTAATATGTGCGAAGAAAAGTTGGGTTTCGAGGAATCTCTTGTTTCATAACTGTTTGGCTTACTTCCATTTCGAGTAGAAGTGTTGGGTGAAGAGATTGGAAGACGACGGCGAATTCCTCTTGACCAGCTGTCGATTGACTTTACTGGAAGATTCATGCTGACGCTGTTCACCGGAATCGAAGGAGATTTCCTCGGAAACAGCGTCAGCATGAATCTTCCAGTAAAGCCACTCGACAGCTGGTCAAGAAGAATTCGCCATCGTCTTCTGGTGGAACTGATCCTCGAATCTCTTCACCCAACACTTCTACTCGAAATGGAAGTGAGCCAAACAATTTCTCCTCGTAGACATGAAGTGATCAAAACTCATTTGCAGTCTCTTTCAAAATGATGTAATTTGAGGAACAGACTTAATCTGCTCTGAACCAGTTTAACCTATTTGGGTTAGTCTCACATTTTCTAGAGACTGGCATATTTGTCGCTCCCACCGGCCAGAGTTCGAGTTCCACTGGGCGTGTTGATAAGGCGGCACTCCCCTATGCCTACGGACGATCTTTTTAACATTGTTTGCAAAAATCCATCTCTTATGGGCGTATTAGCAATAAGTTTATTAAAATAACCCAATTCGACTAAAATCCCGTTAGGCGAGTAGGAAATTGCAGGCCAGCCTTGTTGAGAAAACCTCGTAGCCAAGTGAAACCCAACGACATTGTGGGGCCTAGTTATTTCATTGTGGAAATCTCCCCTATCAGTCTTCAACCCACCGTAAGTGATAGATGATGCAAAAGGTCTGAGCACAAGAACCAGTCCAAACTGGTACCAATTTACAAAAAGCTCATTTACTCATGCTTATCCAAGCGTCGGCCACCATCTTGGCTCATCCAGTATCAGATTGTAGAAAAGGCGAGAGAAACCGTTCCATTTCAGCCAATGATGGCAACGAAGACGACAGCATAGTTGCCTCTTCCGTAGTCATCGGGGCCGAGGCTAACCTCTCCGAGCCTTGGAGCTTAAAGTCGACATGACTTTACGTCAAAGCTCCAACTTCTGCAACCAGAGTCTGCACTAAAATCGCCCTTATGTACATTTTATATTGTCATCTTAGCCTAAAAACAATGCGGTAAAATTTTTCGTTCATAATTAGGTCTTCGATTCGGTGAAACTTTTTTGTGCAAAACCTCATCCGGATCCGCTGAGTCTGTTTGTGGATTGTAGGCCTGAATCCCCTGACTGGAGTCCTGTGGCTGAAAAGATTCGGGGGGTGATGCAGTTCGGTCTGCAGCCTAAATTTCGTTAGGCTCCTAATATTCGCATAGACAGTTTGTGTGATTGTCTTGTCTGCACTCCAATGGCAACGGGGACAACAGTGCTGCCTAATTGAAAATGTATAAAGATGTCCACTCATTGAAAAGCAGACTTTCAGAGTGTTTGAGCAGCATTCAATCGTGGCAGTTTCTGATTCACTTTGTCTTCGAAGCGCATCGCCTCTCAGTCTGAACTTGACTCCGTGTTTGTACATACAATGTCGAGATGGCATGGCTACAATGAGGCATTCACACACTCACTGAACAGCATGTGTATATATCCAAACATGTGAATGCTTTTTTGTCTTTGGGTGCATTTTCATGTTGGTGACTATGTGAATGTACAGGCTCTATGTGCTTTTGTGATTCTGCTTTTTCGACTTATTTTGAAGATCATGCCTCTCGACAAAGGCGTCGCGCCATGTTACTCGACGTCCAGATTGGGCAGATGATGATCGATTTGAGTTCATCCTCAAAACTGGTACCGATTTGTGCTCATTCCCCACCTCCTGAGCTCCGCGGCCCCTCCACAAAGCGCTTGTATCTGCTAGTCTGTAGACAGGCCTGTAGCGACTTGGTGAATGTGCAGGCGAACGGAGGTCTGTACTAGCGCGAAGGAGGACAGTCCGAGTCGTGGATGCTCATTCCCTTGCCTACGCGTAACTACAGATTGTTGCTTGTCCGTGAAAGCCAGCCGTCCGAATTACGTGTGGTGGGGCGATGACATAACAACACTGGAAGAGGACGCATAACGGTTCTCGTTTCGTTGTAAACGTTGGAGTAGCTATTACTTCGTTTGTAGAGGCGAGTTGAAGAGATTCGTAAGTTGGTCTCAATGGAAGTTGCCTTAGAGTTTCCAGATTTGTGTGAATACCTTTTCGGCGCCCCACCCGGCGACCCCGATGCACCCATGCTGGGCTCGCGTTCGTCATGTGATGGACATCGTCAGAACAGGACCACATGCTTTACGATAATTCACCAAGCCCACAGAAATAAGGCATAGTGTCCAGCTCTGGCGATTTTCGTCACATGACGCATGTAAGATCAGCAAGGGTTCATTGGAGTCGAGGGACGGTAAGCCCTTGTTCGTACAAATCTATAATCACAGCTCTAAGGCGACCCACCTTCGACTTCCAAAAGAGACTAACTTATGAACTCTTCCACTCACCTCTTCGAAAACTATTTTTTTCTACATATCGCCCTGACACGACTTTTCGTCTCAAAGTAGAAAATCGGCTGGAAGCGATTCGTATATTGGCCTCAACATAATCCGAAAAGTGATTGCCATGGTATGGAAATTTGGATTGTTCTGTGAATCCGTTGAATCCTTGCGGAGATGTCGCGTGTCATGGGAAACATCGACAGAGCTGGGAGAATAATTAGGAAAAAAACGCACTAAAACAAGATTACTTTATTGTTGGTTAGATCACGTTTTCGCAAATTGGTCGGAGGGGCTGGGAGGCCTTGTGGAATGTACCTAGCACTGCATCCTTTTCCAAAGCATTCAGGATGCTTTTCAGCATAGGACCTTTTACTTGGTATATTCCCAGGCGTTCCGCTGGATTTTCAATCAGAGGTTTAAGCCTGTACTAAGAGCAGACCTTCTTACCGACAATACCGACGACGAATCCAGAGAAACATTAACGGTACGATGCTGAAAACTACAAGTTCCATAAGATTTCGCTGTCACTCTGGCCAGGCTATGAAAACGAGGTTATTCTAACGGGATACTTCTAAAGGAGAATGAGATCTTCATTGTCTTCATATCTACAAGATTAATTTGATTGGAACTGATGTCTGAAGATGAGCAATGACCAACGTTTAATGTCTTAGCTGAGGCTCTGTAGAGGCGGTCCACATGTCTACGACAGATATTATTCATGAAGATAAACTGGGTTTAGAAGAATCCCTTAGTGATATATTGTGACATGACTTTCGCTTTCGAAGGAAAAGTTGATTGGGAGGAATTCGTGATGTGGTCTCACCGGAAACCGAAGGAGAATTGCCGTGTGGTTAAGACTGTTGCATTGTGCCAAGAAGTCCTTGGCTCACCGTCCGGCTGCCCCGATGAAACTGTGATAAACTTTAGTCTGTACTACTACAGACATACTCAGAG